GACTATTCACAATGTAACATCCAAGAGATAGAAAAATAATGGGAACATAATTTACACATTTTGCAAATCATGTTGGTGTGTTGGGTACTCGGTATTGGTTTGACACCGGCCTTCATCTATATTTCAAGCTCTTTGTAATGACATTATGAATTTATAATAGTTTTTTGGTTTTCTTTTCAAAAGAAAAAATAATACGCATAGGCTCTAAAAGAAAGAGAGAGGAAGAGGAAGAGGAAGAGGAAGAGGAAGAGGAAGGTGGTGGATCAATACGTAAATATAGATCTATAGATTATGCAATGGCAGAAGACAGTAATCCAGGTACTTTATTTCGTAATTTATACTCTTTAATATTTTATACAAAGACATATCTCATGCAATAAAATATAAGTGCAAATAAAAATTATTACAAAATACGGAGTAACAATTCTATTATATACATACATTTTTTTTAAAAAATAGTCATGATTCTTTACAAGTTAGTATCTGTTCTATTATATACATACATTTAAATATGCAAACATGCATAGATGCATATACGTACATGTATGTATGTATATGTATATATTTTCTTTTGAATGGACTAAATTATAGTATTTCTAGTATGCAAAAAAAAAAAAAAAAAAAAAAAAAAAGAAGTAATATATATCAAAGAAATTTATTAGTGAAAACAATTTAAAATCTTTAAATGTGAATCAAATGTATGCTATGATATTGTTCAAACCTTTGAAATTCAGTAATTAATGTATTCTTCAAATGATAACAATCTGAACATGGCAACTTATAGAAAGTACGGTAGTGTAAGGGCACTCTTGTCCGGTTATGTTTTTTTTTTTTTTTTTTTAATCTTTTATTTACTTTTAGAAATAGTTGAAAATTTTAACTATTGAAAATTTTAACTATTGTAAAAAAAAAAAAAAAAAAAAAAAAAAAAAAAAAAAACCCACAATATAAATTTGATAAAGTTAATTGCATATACTATGTTTTGAGAAACATATCTTACTGATTTCAAAACTAAAAAAGATGCAAAATATTTTCTATCAATCTTATTAATCAAAATGTAGCTCAACATACCATAATTCTCATAGAACAGTGGGTTACAGTTTTTTTTTTTTTTTGGGTGCAACTGTGATTTTGAGATCGCATTTTTCTTCTAATTAATTAATTTCTTAATGCATTGTCACACACACACACAAATATATATATATATATATATATATATATATATATATATATATATATATATGTGTGTGTGTGTGTGTGTGTGTGTGTGTGTGTGTGTGTGTGTGTGTGTGTGTGTGCGCGCGCGCGCCTATAATTTTTTCTCAAAAAAAAAAAAAAATTGAATATATATCGAAGGTGAAGATGAGGAAAGGGGTGAATCACTTGATTGTGACGAAGATGTTGAAGAGTATGAAGCAAAAGAAGGTAATGCAGGGCACGGTGTTAAAGTTGCAATCTCAGAACATAATGATTCAGGTAACTTAATTATTCTTACACTATCATTTTAATTATTTCATACTATATTAATATTGAGATATACTCTTTATAATAATAATGCATGGATATATTCCTTTGTTAGTAGTATACCAAATCGAAAAGTGTTTTATTTCAATTAAGAGTTTTAACTTGTATAACATTACACATTTATTATTTTATACTCCGTATATTTTATGTTCAAAATATATTAACCACCAAAAAATCCAATGGCATTTTTTCCTTTTTTTTTTAAAAAAAAAATAATTAATTTTAATTCATTTAAAAATTAATATTTTAAACAATTTCTACTTGACACTCGGTAACCGAGTAGCAAAAGGTTTTATTTGACACAATGAACAAATTACACAAAATTGATTAATTTAGAGATCTAATTACATTTTTTAAAGGTTATTAGTGTCCAACTGCATTATTGTGTACACTTTGATGACCTATTTAAGCATTTTTTTTTAAAACCACCGTATTTAAAAGTTTTACACTTTATATTTTTAATCTTAAATACATATTGATAAAATTTTACTGTTACAAATTACAATCACTATTTTCTAAATCAAATAAGTGACCCATGACCGTCAGTATTGGATTTCTTTGTGCAAACAACTACTAGGCGTATATATATATATAATAAAACAACAAAAAAAAAAAAAGTTTGGTCCCTATAACATCATCCGAATAAATATAACTTGAATCGTATCAAACAAGATACACATACTAACCTGCATTAGTTATAGAGTCAAAATTTGCTACAAGATATGAAGGATCGAGTCTCACAAACCACAAGGTGTAAAAGCAACCTCACGAGGAGATGACTCTTCTATTGGTCAATTGAGAAAACATATCCTAGTAATTTCAAAACTAAAATAGATACAAAATATTTTCTATCAAATCTTATTAATCAAAAGCTAGATAACTCTATTACTATATATACAACAACGCTTTGAGTTTTAAAAATTAATCTTTTCTGTTTCTTATTATTTTCTTTAGTATATTTCAATAAAATTATTGTTTTAACATTGGACAAATATATTAAACATTCACTGATTTTTGTATAAGGTGCATACATTGCTAATATTAAAATGCTACATACAAAATCAATTGCAATTTGCATATACACATTCTACTCTGACAATGTTAATAACATGTTTAAAGGTACATATATATTTATGTGTACGTGTGTGTGTGTGTGTGTATATATATATATATATATATATATATATATATATATATATATATAGAGAGAGAGAGAGAGAGAGAGAGACTCTTGTCAATCAAATGAATATAATGTATTATTGTCATTGTAAATATATAATAATGTATTGTGTAAATATATAATAATGTATTATTGTGTAAATATATAACAAAATAAAATAGAATGCAATTTTTTTGGGGTAAAAGTGAATTTCAAATATACTTTTTCAACCTAATGAAGTTCAAAGAGCCAATAACACATTCACTAAGGTTTGAACTTACAACCGGAAGTCCAACCCGAGTGTCATCTGAGCACAAAGTGCTTAGCAAATTTCTAAAAAGTAAAAATAAATATAGCTTGTATCATATAAAGCAAGAGACACATACCAAAGTAAACAAGGTAACTCTAATAGAAAGGGAGAGTGGTACTAATTTATTGAAATTAAAATTAAAATCTAAATAATTTTTAAAATATCCCAACCTCTTATTTCATAACTAATTAATTAGAACAAGTTTACAAAGCTCTTTTTATTACAAGTAAAATAAATTGTACACAAGCATGTATCCCCATATATATATATATATATAAACTATAATAAATTTTTTAAATACTTATGATTCTTTATAAGATAGTATCTGTTCTATACTTTATAAGTCCCACCTACGGGTGTAAACGAGCCCGAGCCTGGGTAGGCTCATGCTCGTGCTCGTTAATGTTAGCACTGCTCGAGCTCGTGAATTGATGCTCGAGCTCGGCAATTGTCAAGCTGCTCGAGCTCGAGTTTAGGCTTGAATTTGAGCTCAATTTTGATCTCGAATTTGACCTGTTTGATTTAAAATTTAAACTACTTTTTGAAAGGAGCCTGTGCGGCATTTATTCAAAATATGCTAAGATAGAGTCTGGTGGACCAGAGTCCGAATACATAATAGCTAACTGAGTAAAAGCAGTAGATGCTAAGGTATGAGCTAAATTATTATTCACTCTACGAATATAACGAAGAGAACAATAATCAAAAGTTAACATACTAGTCCAGCAACCATCAATAGCATAACCCCAGATATGAGCGTGGCGAACCTGTCATAGACGATAGATATTGCTGTAGTACTAAACAATCCGTTAAAAGCTCGACAGACCTTACCCCACGGTTCCTACATTATTAAAGTATTTTTATTTCCCTCCCCTAATTATTATTTTTATATATTAAATATAATATAATTATATTATATATTATAAGGCTCGCGAGCGGCTCGTCGAGCCGCGAGCCTACAATACCTAAGCTCGGCTCGTGCTCGTTTAATCCACGAGCTCAAGCTCGATTTTGACCGAGTTCGAGCCGAGCGTTGACCGAACCGCTCATGAGCGACTCACGAGCGGCTCAGCTCATTTACACCCCTAGCCCCACCACCGGGGTTCGAACCTTTGACCATACTTTCTAAGCCCCACCACCGGGATTCGAACCTTTGACCATACCAAAATACCATCACACTACATGATATTTGGCATATTTATTATTATTTAAAAAAAAAAAAAAAAAAAAAAAAACAAGATTTATAAGAAAAGTACAGAACTTTTTTCCCACTAAAATACATATTGATGAACTTTTATCATTACAATCAATGTTATTGAAGTCCATGGGCTTTTTTTTTTTTTCTTTTGTTCAATAAAGCTCGACTGGTCAATGTTCAACTAATAGGTTTATGTATATGCATGATTATATATTTTGTATGTTAAAGAATAAGGTTAAACAATAAATGTTTGTCTATAAATTAAAATAATCTAATGTGTGTATACAAAAATAGTTCCTTAACTATAGCAAAATTACCAAAGTTTCTATAATGTCATCTATGAATTTTCTCCATTTCTGAGTGTATAGAATTCATATATAATCTCATTTATATAATACTCTGTATGTATGAGAGTGTAAAAGATAAATGGTATTCGTATTCTATTTCATGTTCAACAAAACACAAGAATTTGATTCCCCATATAATTGTATATTTATAATTAAACAGTAGAATAGTATTTTCTATTTTATTCTTTTTTTTTTTCTCTATTCATGTTAGAATTCTATTATTCTCTTTATTTTTATTCTTTGAATCAAAGACCACGTAAATGCTATTACTCTACGCCATTATATATAAGATTGGAAAATTCTACAATAGTAGGACACAGTGCTGAATCACCTATTAATGCAAGTAGTGATGATGAATCAGAACCCTCAAAATATGGTGACTATAGTACTTTATGGTATATTATATAAATACATATCTAATAATGCAAATATATTCTTATAAATAACAATTGTGGGATGTGAAAGGAGAAGAAGGTGAATCAATTGATGGTGATGAAGATGTTGAGGAGCATGAGTGTAATGCAGGACATAGTTCAGGTACTTCATTCTTTACACTAGCCTTTTAATTTTTTCATATTGTATTATTACTGAGATATACACTTTAATATAATTGAGGGATGTATTCCATTTCAATTAAAATATGTGATTTTGAGATGAATTTCTTTAATCCATGGTTACATATACATAATTGTTACTTATTATAAAATGTAATTCTCAAGAGATTTTTTTTTTTTTTTTTTTTTTTGAACATGTTGAACATTAGGCTCTAAAAAGTTATATTTGATCTTTATGATGCAGAATTTAAAGAACGGGATGTACATATGTATGTAAATGTATATATGCATCTTGACTAGCTAACTAAACTATACCTTTTTGCTCTAATATATATAAAAGGAAAAGAAGGTGAAGATGAGGAAAGGGGTGAATCACTTGATGGTGACGAAGTTGTGGAAGAGTACGAAGCAAAAGAAAGTAATGCATGGCACGGTTTTGAAGTTGCAATGTCAGAACATAATGATTCAAGTAATTATTCTTAAACTATCATTATAATTATTTTATATTTTATTAATAACGAGATATATTAATATACTCTTTAATATAATTGAAGGGTGCATTTCATTGCGATTAAAAGATGAGTCAAATACCAAGTGGCTTGTAGTCCACTGGTATCAAGTTGCTCTTCTAAGTGGGAGGTGTAAGGTTCAAACCTTTGTTGAGGCAATAGTGTGTATATGTAGGGTATCCCCCTTCCTTATAATAAAAAAAAGATGAGTCAAATAATATATCAATATATTCTTTTGTCAATATAATTTACCAAATTGAAAGGTGTTTCATTTCAATTAAAAAATTTTACTTATATAACACTACGCATTTATTGTTTAATATATTTTATGTTCAAAATATATCAACTATCAAAAATTCCAATGGAATTTTAACCCAGAAAAAAGGGGGTGCTTGGGTTTTTTTTTTTTTTTTTTTTTTTTTTTTTTTTTATAATTTTAATTTATTTAAAAATTTTAAATATATTTTAAAATTTAATATTTGAAAAAAATTCTACGTGGCACTTGGTAATCGAGTAGCAAAAGGTTTTACCGACAAGTTTGACAAAATTGATAATTTCGCTATAAACAAATGATCATATCGATAATTAACTCTATAATCTAAAAACATATTAAGCTTCAATCAAAGTTATATCTCTCATTTATGTCCATGTTTTTAGTGCTAATCATTTTATACATTATGGTTTTAGAGTTGTACTATATAATTTTTTGAACAAAAATTTTGCTACCGTTATAACTTTCGTTATGTTTTCCGTTATTGTTACCATGCACATGCATCCACCATATATTTTTTTTATATTTTTTAATGATAATAATATTTGTAGACATTATATATTGGATTAATATAATAAATAAATTTGATTTTATATATATTTTAATTAGTAAGAATTTGTTAGTTATTATTCTAAAAAAAAAAAAAATTATTAGTTATTTTTAAAAATATAAATATTGGGCATATATTTTTGCGTATTGCGCATAAAAAAGACTAGTCATTTGCATACACACGAATGAAATAAGATAGACGCATATTGATGACGATGAGTTTCCTATTATATGGCAGAGAAAAGTGTTATAGATGTAACATTGTTAGGCAAATGATTTGGCTCTTTTAGAAGTATTGATTGTTGTTTTTTTTTTTTTAATGTCATACTATTTTGGAAAGGAGTGACCAATTATCAATTTGTACGCATTCTATATTTTTATATTAATAAATATTAGTTTATAAAATAAAATAATATAATTATATACGGAGTAATTAATTACACATGAATGATGAATGACAGCACATATTGATGATGAAGAGGCTTCAATGGCAGAGAATAGTTCTATACTACGTTATAGATGTTATAGATATATACTTCATACTCTTTATTAGTATTTTATAAGAATATTTATCCAATAAAAAAAGATTTTAAAAAGCGTTTAATATATATAGAAAAAAAAAATTAAATACTAAATGCTATTACATACACTATTATATATATATATATATATATATATATATATATATATATATATATATATATATATATATATATATATATATATATATATATATATATACACACACACACATTTAGGCATTGATGGTTCAATGAGCTTCAATAGAACAATGGTTCAACTACTGGGTTTATACACACAGTTATATATTTTTATATTAATAAGATATATTGTTGAAATGATACTTCATTCACCGAATTTTTATAACTTATATTTATTTATTGGTCAAAATAAATCTCTTTTTCACTTATTTTTTTCAACATTTTTTATAATATTTAAATTCAGTTTTCTTTTAGTCTAATTATATTTTAATGCAAATTTGAAGTATTAATTTGTACTCATCACTGAAACTAAATTAAATTATAAATAATTTGAGTAAAGTCTAATTATCGGTCTCATGTATACATTTTGAATAAGAGGGTGTAAATATCAATCTATAAAATAAAATAAGTTGAATGCATGCACAATTACTGCTAGAACATAGTGCAGCAAAGTTAACCCAACAGGGTAGCTCAAGTGGCAAATGAGCTCACTTTGTGAGGGAGAATTCTGGGATAACCTGGGTTTGATTCCCCAAGTGATGATTCCCTCTGGGCTAGCTTTGGGCTAGCTTCAGTACTTCTCGGAGCGAACTGGATGGACCTGGTTAAACGGACAGAGAAAGACCCGGACCAGCCACATGTTGTTATTTATATATGTGCGTAACAAATGCATCAATAATTCCATCAACATATACCATATCATTCATAAATCTTAATCAGAGTAAACAATATATTTTTTAAATAATATTAAATATAATGGGTTCATGCAAATATAACGTCTTGTTGATTGATTTTATTGACAATTGCTAGGTCCAGATAGAACCAAACTGTGGGAATTGACTGAAATTGTAGATCATGTTCAATGCCAAATGGTTTCCATGCCAGAATGCTCTAACGCAAAGGTTTTTGAACTACTCTTTATCATTTTTCTTGTAATTCATCTCTCTTACAGATAGACAATGGTGCTTTAACTAATAAATAAAGGGTACGTATAAGCTAATTAAAGTATTTAATTCTCCATGAATTTCAACACTTGATGTTGAAATTGATTTTTGTTAAGGTTGCCCGACTTCTTTATACAAATTCTGGTGCTAGCATCTTGGCACTCAACTCAGATGGTATTCAAAAACTATGGAAATGGTCCTACAATGAACAAAATCCAAGCAGAAAGGTAGAGTGAATAGATTAAGAGATTTATTATTATTATTATTATTATTATTATTTTGCTATACTATTTATGTTAATGTTAATGTCTTGCATTAATGTTTGGCAAATGAGTCTCTAAAGTCTCTAGTGTCTAAATGCCACTGCCAATTATGTGGAACAGAATTGGCAACCAAACAGTGGTCCTCCTATGATTAATGATGTGTCAGCTGTCAACCTAGAAGAAGTAGTTCCTTGCATAGCCCTCTCGAATGATGACTCTTATGTTGTGTCTGCTGTTGGTGGAAAGGTTTCATTGTTTAACATCATGACAAGTGAGGTATGACTAGCGAACAAGTTTAACGTACTCTTAATTATAAGTTTATCACATTTGGCTTTATAAATGACTATTTGCGTGATTTCTGTAATGTATATATATGTGATGTAGGTAACGAAAACAATCACGTCGTTGCCATCTGCATCAACTTTCTTAGCTTTTCATCCTCATAACAACAACATTATTGCAATTGGTACTGAGGAATCATCCATATATATATATCACTACAAGAAAAATGCACATAGACAACGGTTATTAACCGTTGTCGTAGGGGTATACTTTCTGTTGTTGAAGCCGGTGTTGTTGTAAATCCCGCGCATAGACAACGGTTTTTTAACCGTTGTCTTTTCTAGAAACAACAACGGTTTTTTAACCGTTGTCTATTAAGTGTTGTTGAAGCCGGTGTTGTTGTAAGTCACGCACATAGACAACGGTTAATAACCGTTGTCTTTTCTAGAAACGACAACGGTTTTTTAACCGTTGTCTATTAAGTGTTGTTAAAAGTCACGCACATAGACAACAGTTAATAACCGTTGTCTTTTCTAGAAACGACAACGGTTTTTTAACCGTTGTCTATTAAGTGTTGTTGAAACCGGTGTTGTTAAAAGTCACGCAATAGACAACGGTTATTAACCGTTGTCTTTTCTACCAACGACAACGGTTTTTTAACCGTTGTCTATTAAATGTTGTTGAAATCGATGTTGTTAAAAGTCACGCAATAGACAACGGTTATTAACCGTTGTCTTTTCTACCAACGACAACGGTTTTTTAACCGTTGTCCATTAAGTGTTGTTAAGTCACGCAATAGACAACGGTTATTAACCGTTGTCTTTTCTACCAACGACAACGGTTTTTTAACCGTTGTCTATTAAGTGTTGTTGAAACCGGTGTTGTTAAAAGTGACACCCATAAACTGTTGTCTTTTGTAGAAAAGACAACAGTTTCAAACTGTTGTCTATTATAAAATAGACAACGGTTTTTAACCGTTGTCTCAACCCATTTTTAACCTGCTTAAATTTTAATCATATAAAAAAAAATCAATTTATCCATTCACCATGCATGGCCAAGTGTAGTTACATAATTTTGAAGAAGCTAAGCAAGATTCAAAATAAGAAGTCAAAATACTTTCATTACCAATTCTAATCCAATCATCATCCAAGTCATAATACTAAAAAAAACAATTCTACGAACCAAGTCTAAATGATTACAACGTCAAATTATACCTACTCTATATAATTTGATAGAATATCGGCACATTCTGAACGCACCAGATCAATAACCGCTTTGTCATAATCAACTTGTTGAAACTACATGTAAAAAGTGAGTAAATAAATTAGTATAGATATAATAAATTTGCTATGAAATTCGAAATAAGTTAGGAGTAATTTGCAAGAACCACTATATGGTAATAGAGTTTTAGCAGTTCTAAAGGCAAGATCTTTTGTCTTTTCTCTGATCTCTCCACTTTAAACTTTGTGAATAAAAGTATCAAATTAAAAACTAAAAAGCATTCAATCAATAGACTTCAACAATAAATTGAGTACTCAAAATTATACTGCCAACAGTCCAATTCAGAAAGCATCTAAAGTTGATGAGTTCAACAGTCCAATCACTGCAGATCACTTAAAAAAGAATGATGTTGAGACTCAAGAATCTGGTGCTGTGAAAAGATGCACATGTTGGATTAGTTTTCTTCATCCAAAGGGCTTAAAAAGTCGAAGTTGGCAACCATTAAACAAGAAAAATTTAACTTATTGTTGGGATTTGGAGACTGAATCAATATCACCTTTGAATGGTGATATAATATTGTTGGGTGAAACAAGAAGATCAATATTGCAAATTTGCCTAAAATAATCTAGATAAAAAAATTAGTTACTATTTTTTAGACCAAAAACTTATCTGCAAATGAATTAATTTTTGTCTAGGTTGTTTTTTTGCCTAATTTTATTTTTTGCAGTCAGCAGGTCAGATATTTCATATGAAGAGTTCAAATTTCAAACAAAACAGTGTTAAAATCATTCATACATGATCAACAATCAAACAGTGGTTGAAAAACACTAATTTGTATCTGCCCCGGCCCTTTAGCTGTATTTAAAAATCTAAAAAAAAAAAAACAAAAAAACAAAAAAACAAACAAACAAACAAACTTCACTGTTCGATTTAGTTTTCCATTGCTCTGTCATAAAAAACAACTATAGGGCATCAGATGAATGTTCTATTGCTCTGCCATAAATTGAAAATGTAAAGATTCTCAAATAATTTAATTCTGAGAACTCTTTTATCAATTAGAACAATAGAAGATAAACCTAAGGCATAAGAATGATGCTATTCTCACTATCTGCCATCAACTTATAAACTTGAAGCAACATGCTATATAGAATTGATAGCATTAAAACTAATAATGCAACTTCACAGTTTATTGCTGCCAATAAAAATCTAATGCATCAGAACATTAGGTCCATCATCTGCTTTCAATTTTAAGAATTCTAAAGAAAATTAGGGCATCAGAATTGTCTTTTCATCATTTGCCATCAACTTGAAAAAAAAAAAGTTAGTTACTTTTAAGAAATCTCAATCATAATTATTTAATGTCAATAAGAGGGGGAACAAGAAGATTTAATGAGAAAAAAGTAGCAGACATTGTTCATTACCAAAAAAAAAAAAAAAAAAAAGAATAGTCATACTTTTAATTGTAATCAAAAGCTTTATGAATTGAATACTTAACGCTTTACAAATAAATACCACAAAAAATGACAGATTGAAATTTCATCAACTCAATCTATTTACATAAATTCAAAACTAAAAGGCAGTCAAATCAAAGTATGAGGTCAATAATTAGTTCTACAATTATAGACCAGCAAAAGGAATTGACAACAAAGGTACAATAATCTTAATCAATTTTGAAAGCTTAATATTACCTGATCATTGTTTCTTCTATTCATCATTTATATGTTTATGAAATGATAAACTTAAATCAATTAGTTGGAAGATATCAATATATAGCCAACATAACTATACTATGTGTTCTTTTATTTGCATGTTCATTTCTAAGCTAAAAAATCTATGTTTTTTTATTTGATGGTAATAATATAATTTGTCAGCATTCTACATCATTTAGGCTATAAAACTTCCTACATATATTATTTTATACTGACAAATCTTTACATTAAGTTCAAAAATATTTATTCTTCTGTATTTAGGAAAACCCTAACTTAAACTGACTACTCCCATTTTGAACAAATACAATGACAGACTTCTAACTTAAACTGACTACTCCCATTTTGAAACTTTTTAATCTTTTGCTTTTAAGGTCGAAAATCAAAATATCACCTGATTCACCTCTGCTGTCTTTTGAAGTCATTTTGCATGAAATTCTCCTCAGTCCAACAGAGAATTCAGAATATGCATATTCAGCAAAAATCCTATTGAATGTTTAGAACGAAAATGCTTACCTTGAGATTGAGAGGCACTAAAAAAAGTTAAAGGACGTACCTTGCGGCGACCGAGGAGAATGGTGGCGACCGGCGAGCTTGCGGTAATGGGCGAAGGGCGAATGAATGGACTTGAATGAATGTGTCTCATAACCTTGAATAAGCCGAGTAATACACATCGATTTGGGTCTATTTTGAGAGTCTATGAACTCCTGAGGATATCATTTAGTATAAAGGTATGAGAATCTCTATCACATTAAATAACACACATAAAATTAACTAAGAAGGGCATAAAACAGATTTTCTACCTCTGCAGCTTGAATAGCAGATTTCCTCTCATTCACTTGTGTTACACGGCCAACCCAAAAAAATACCTTTTCACCACAATCTAATAAATAGCATCTGTTGAAATGTAAAATCATTTTAATAATAAAAAAAATTCAAAGATTACCAAGTGACACAGCACCCTCTAGTTGACCGAGAGTATTTTTTTCAAGTGAGTGAAATGACTCCACTATCAATGCAAATAAACATCAGGCATACTTTTGTGAACAAGTAATTAAGAAATAGGAAGATACTCCACAATAGAAAAAGAAATAAGTTCTATGCAGTTTGAGAATAACTAATCAGCTGGCTTTTTTGATGTGAAAATTAGAGAATAAGTTCTTTTATGCAAAAACTTATACACTAAAGATAAATGTATAATATATTTAACATCAATAAACAGAAAAATTAAATATATAAAATAACACTATGCCTTTCTCCCACAAGAATCTTTCATCTCTGAAGTAGATGGTGATTAATAAGTAATGCGGATAATAATTTCCAGTATGAATACAGCATTCAACACAAAATTTGTGATTGGTAATAAAACAATGATTCACCCACACAAGTTGTTAATTTGTTATGATACTGGCTCATAGACTCAATTTCTTCCAAGTATGACAAACAAAAATGATTATGAGCTATTGTCAGGAGCATACCTGAGAAGTATACCATTTTCCATCCTTCCAATCCATGTGAGGTCTTAATTCTGAGTGATTGAGCAGCCTCTCCTTCTTCCCATGTTTAAAGAAAACACTATAACTATTATCAGCAAGTACTTTGTTTACCACTCCTCTCCACCAGCCAAAATCATAATATGCATCTACTTTGTCCAATAAATTAAAATTTTTATTTTTGAGAAGGTTTACATACTCGATGTAGACCTTGGCGTTCCAAAGGCGTTCTTCTTTTTGGAACCGAATCATGTAGTGGAAGAAGGAGAAGAAGATGGAGGAGGAGGATTAGGGTCAAGAATGACGGCCCCAAACCACGTTCCCGTGAAGCCTTCTTCGTCTGTGCACACCTCAGGTCCTCAACCAACGACCCCTTGGCTAGTAGCTGCTTCTGCTAAAATAAAATAGAAAAATTAAATAATTACAAAAACATTTTGTACGTACCTGCTGCGGAGGCGACGACCGAGGAGGAGCTTCGGAGATCTCAATTGAAAGCCATGAAAGTTGAGTTTGCAGAAATCGATAATTTTCTGAGATTCCAGATATGAAGAGAGAAAAGAGAGGAGGAATGGTTAAACCCTAGTATATCTTCTTTCACTTGGAGCTCTGTAATGATTTCTAAACTAAAATGTTTTTACTGCGGAGATGGCTAGTGTGGAGAATGGCGGTCGGCGGAGGCGGAGATGTCTGAGGACAATGGCGGTTGGTGAAGAGCACTCTGACTGCGAAGATGTCTGAGGACAATGGTAGTCGGCGAGCAAGGGAAATTTTGTCCCAATTTCGTTCGTAATTTTGTGGGAAATTTTGTCTGGAAATTTTGTTCCCAATTTTGTTTTAGAGGAAAATTTTGTTTTAGAGGGAAATTTTGTAAGAAAATATTAGTTTTATTATTTAGGTCGATAGACACAATTAAAATAGTACTGGGTATATAGATACAAAATGCGAGATTCATAGGTTTCTATAATGTAGATTCATAATTTCTATACAGTATATTTCTAATTTAAATACAATAATATAGATTCATAATTTCTATACAGTAGATTCATAATTTCTATATTGCAGATTCATAATTTCTGTATTTGTTGATTCATAATTTCTGTATTTGAAGTTATAAGATCAATTCTAATAATAAAACGATGTTATATAATAAATTATATTTCAATTTTATTTAATCAATGTAGTATATCATATAAAATTAAAAAATAAAATTATATATATATATATATATATATATATATATATATATATATATATATATATATATATATATATATATATATATATGGTTGAGTTCAAATGAGGACAAAAATATATAGAGGATTGTGCTGACAAATAATGGGCACACAACAAATTAATATCAGACACACAATTTAATACATAATGGCACACAAGAATTCATGTAAACATCAGGTTCGAAACCAAGCTCTATTAATTAACAAATGTATGCATGTGACATACAAACTGTAGCACACGACTATATTCGGTCATGCACAAGACATACAGTCCCAAAATATTAGTTTAATTACTCGGGTCGCTACATCCAGTCAATTAAAATAGTACTCGGTATATAGGTACAGAACACGAGATTCATAGATTTCTATAATGTAGATTCATAATTTCTATACAGTATATTTCTAATTTAAATACAGTTGTATAGATTAATAATTTCTATACAGTAAATTCATAATTTCTATACTGCAGATTCATAATTTCTGTATTGTTGATTCATAATTTCTAAACTGTATAGTTATCAACACTTGGGAATATGAACATCGCAAATTATAAACATAAAGTTCTGTAATTGTGAATATAGATAAGAGTTATTCAATTATGATTATGCATTTCAATTCAAAAATTATGAATATATAGTTTGGTAATTATGAACATAGAGCTAATTAAGATCGCGGCAAAAGAAATGGGATATAGCTAACTGTACGGCATCGATCAACTACTCTTTCATATCCATTCTCAACGTGTCCCAGGCATGCCGGAAGGGTCGATTACCAACATATAGCTAACCTTGTTAGTCATGCGCTAGCCGGAATGGTCGATTTCCAACATAACTAACCTTGTTAGTCATGCGCTAGCCGGAAGGATCGATTACCAACATATAGCTAACCTTGTCAGTCATGCGCTAGCCGGAAGGGTCAATGAATTTACTTTGAAATTTTGGTGAATAATTTTATATTTAAATATGAAGGAAAATAGAACTATTAAATTAACTTTTGAATTGTATTCTTTCTTTGTTAAATTATAGGTAAAAGATAAGGTGTAACATTTAAATATATAATAGTTGGTGTGGCTTGGTGGATTTAGCTTTGTTTGTTATGTTAAAGGTTTTGGGTTCTATCCTTTGTGGTGGCATTCTTAACCTATTTTATACAATCATTGTATTGGTTCTCAAAGACAACACATAAGCAAATTGGTAATATACTAGATGTTGCATTTGAGTAAACAATAGTTAGTGTAGCTTGGTGGGTTTAGCTTAGTTTATTATGTTAGAAGTCTTAGGTTTTATTTTTCTTGGGGGGCATTCTTTAACTATTTTCTAAAATTGTTGTCTTGATTTTCACAAACAACACAGAAGCAACTCAGTTATATATAAGATTTTGCACCTTTAGAAATAAGAGTTTATGTTGCTTAGTTGGTTAGACCACTTATTTGTTAAGTTTGAGGTTATAGGTTCAACTCTTATTGTTAACATCCTTGTTTTCATTTTATATACTTGTTAAATAATGATGCTCAAAGACAACAGTTTTTTAAAACCGTTGTCTTTGTAGTGTTGTGTATTCAAATACGCTTAAAGACAACATACCAAAGACAACGGTTAAATAAAACCGTTGTCTTAAACAAATAAAGAACGCGCAACGACAACGGTTATATAAAACCGTTGTCGTTTTAGTGTTGTGTATTTGAGTGCGCTTAACGACAACACAACAACGACAACGGTTAAATAAAACCGTTGTCTTTAAAAAAAAAAAAAAGCGCACAAAGACAACGGTTGACCGTTATCTTTTTAGTGTTGTGTATTCCAGTGCGCTTAAAGACAACACACCAACGACAACAGTTAAAAAAACCGTTGTCTTCTTTAAAAAAAAACGCACATAGACAACGGTTTTAAAAAACTGTTGTCGTTGTGGTGTTGTCTTTTCATAAAATGCACAAAGACAACACACTTATAACAACGGTTAAGTAAAAACCGTTGTCTTTGACAAAAGTGTTGCATCAAAGACAACGGTTTTAGACAAAACTGTTGTCTTTTAAACAAAAGACAACACTTTTCTTAAAAACTGTTGTCTTTCTAGTGTTGTCTATGTGCATTTTTCTTGTAGTGTATGATTGGGTACATGAGGTAAGTCTTCTATGACGTATCATATCTAGCTTATTGCATTATGTGTATGATAATTTAATATTTATTGATTTAAATAATTTTATATATAGGACTTGATTAAACTTAAAGAGCATCAGAAACCTATCACTGGTCTAGCATTCTCTACCAAACTTCAAATGTTGGTTTCAGCAGCTGATGCCCAGGTAAGCATATATATGTCAATTCGAAAAGGAATAATAAACGGCACAACTATGGCATGATCCCTTCAATCCCTCAATTAACAGTACAGTACAATACAGTGGAAGATACCATGACTAATCATGTAGGACATAGCAATAATTTTTTTTTTTTATTGTAAATTTATGTATTTTGTAGAAACTTCAAGAAGGTTCCAAACTGACCAAAGATTTGTGCATGCCAAAATTTATTTTTAATAAAATATTAACTGGAAACCAAGGTTAGTAGATTATTACAACCTTTTTTTTTTCAGCTTTGTACGTGGAACACTAATTTGTGGAAAAAGAGAAGATCAATTAGCATCCAGTTGCCTGGTGGTGAAGTGCCTTCAGGAGGTGAGACACAAGTGATGTTCCATGCTGACGAACTCCACTTACTAGTTACACATGAAACGCAATTGGCAATATATGATGCATTTAAGATGGAACTCATACACCAGGTAAAACTAGCATGTTTTCTCAAATCTTGAAATATGCTCATGAAGAATATATAGGGTTTAAATTTGGAGTATGCATGCTTGTTACAGTGGATCCCATGTGTGCGGATCTCTTCTGCTACATACTCCTGCAACAGCCAACTAATTTATGCATCCTTCATTGATGGGAACATTGGAGTGCTTGATGCCGATACCCTAAGACTGAAATGCCGTATTGTTCCATCTGCTTATTTACCTCAAAACGGGTAAGAACACCTTCTCAGGATTCCCGGCTGCAAATACTTTGTGTCACAACTTTTGTTTAAGAATACTATTCTTTTCCTTGATGAAATTTTAATTTGTGGATTAACTTGTGTATGTTATATTGTTATTGTAGAAGCGAGGATGTGTATCCACTTGTGATTGCAGCACATCCGCAGGAACCCAACCAATTTGCAGTTGGATTGACAGATGGATCTATTGAAGTCATAGAACCATTAAAATCCCAAGGGAATTGGGAAGTATCTGTATCTTCCCCAGTTGATAATGAGAAGAAAAATGGTAGATTGGTATGGCAGGTTCTTCGTGGCACATTGGCAACCGTGTGTCTTGGATTATTTGGCGTGGGCATGATTCCAATTATTCAAACTAAAACTAGAAAATCAAAATTGAATTTCGGAGACGAGTCTGGAGCAAACCGATATGATAGAACAGAACAAGACGAACCCTCCGAGGCAGAGCCAAGCCCTCGGCAGCCAATGGCCAAGCCCGGTCCTCGACCTTGGCCAATCAAGGCCCGACTATGAAGTTACAATTAAATCCATCAAATTTTAAATAAAATAAGTTGAACTCATAATAATCACACAAAAATCTGTTGCAAAGTGGATTTTGGAATGTGTGTATTTGATCATTAATATGCACTTATACAGTGTTTTTAGCAATGTTGCTCATTGGTTTTTGACTTTTTGGAATGTATGTATTTGAACTCAAATTAATGTTTGAATTTGTATTTGTTTCACTCCCCAAACTAATGGACTTCCCAGTTTCATTATTATTAATGTTATTTCGCAGAATATGTTTGCTTTCAACTCCTCTTCTAATTCACCTTTATATACCCCCTTTGTTTCTATAGTTTATTACTACCTATGCTTTCATGGATATTCATTAAGATCAGAAGAACAACGTTATTAATGTATGAACAGAGCACACAATGCTGGTAAAGAAGATTGTGAAACTGATATAAAGTTGAGGCAAATCAATTCAATGTGCAATTATACAATGTTTTTAACAATATTGCTTTGTGGTTTTACAAGTTTTTGGAGACATTTACAGTGCTTTGTAGGCTCTGTTTTAAGCAAATGATGATATTGTTGCAAGATTAAGACCAAGTGTTGATTATCTATATTGCATACATAAATTCAATCTTGATTGAACCTTTTTTTAAAAATAAAAAAATAAATTATACCATCTATGATTATTAGTTAGAATATAAATCTAATAATATAATAAAATATGTAGATATTTTCTTGTGATCTACGTGATGATAATATTTCATTTTTATTTGTATGAAGTAAAAGTAAAGGAGTAAAATTTGATAGCAGAGAGTAGTAATTTTATCCAGTCGAAATGTAAGAGCCCAGGATGAGGAATTTTATCAAGGGTGAAGTTTCTGGAGTAAAAATTCATAAATTTATATCTGAATTAATATGCACAGTGATATTTTCTGGCACCATAAATTTCCAGGAAGCCGCCTCTTGAGACTCCCGACTGGCCGACTCACACTCGCTGTTAGAAATTAGAAACAAAAAATTATCTCAGAGCTGAATTTTCAAGCCAAAATCTCTCGATAAGCTTTCTACTACTCAACGATTTGCTTAGAGTCACGAGCCATGGCTACCTACCACCCAGAATTCCGGACGACTGTTTTCATCCTCCTCCTCTTCTTCACAGTGAACGCTTTTGCTTCAGCCGACTCGCTGTCGGAGCCCACCGTCTACGATGTCCTAACTAACTACAGCCTGCCGATCGGGCTCTTGCCGGACTGCGTGACCTCCTACACGCTCTCCGACGAGGGCTCCTTCGAGGTCTTCCTCGAGAAGGCCTGCTACGTGCAGTTCGATTACTTGGTGTACTACGAGGAGAAGATCACAGGGAAGCTGGGCATCGGATCCATCACCGACTTGGACGGGATTCAAGTGGAGAGATTCTGGTTCTGGTTCGACGTGGACGAGATTAGGGTTGACCTGCCGCCGTCCGATAGTATATATTTTCAGGTTGGGATCATCAACAAGCAACTCGATGTGGATCAGTTTCAGACCGTTCACACTTGCCAGGACAGCGCCTTGACTCTCTGTGGTGTTCCTCCGAGGAAATTTCTTCAGGTAATGGTTCTTTCTTCAAATTGAAATTTCTGCAAAATTATGCTCGTCTCTTCAGCTGTATTTTTATCTTATTACTGATTATTTGCTGTTTATTTGATTGTTTTTATCGCGCCATAACAGTAAACTTAGTTGGTGATATGGAAGTATAATATATGTTCACTCTTATTTGCACCTCTATTGGTTTATCTACTGTGAATATGTTCAAAGCCTGTTCCAATTTGCAGCTACTATAATAGAAAATGAAGAAGTTAACTTTTACACACACAGAAAAGAGCCTTTGAAAGTTCCCAGATTTTCTGTATGCCTGGGAGTTCCATGATACATGTGTGTCTATTTTAGGAGAAGCTCTACTCTTTGTAGTTTCATTTCCGCTACTTGTTTCTACTTTGCTAGAAAGTGATATTTGGAAAAATTATGTGCAAAGTGACTACTGATGGTAGATTGTTGAGTGTTAATGTATTGTGGTATGTTGTGAGCCTGTGACTTTAGAAACCTGAGGGGGCGATTTCCCTTTCAATAATATGTATGAAGATTAGAATGTTAAGGAGGTAGTGCTCTAGTGCTTGCAGTTTTTTAAAGTGTTAGAATCTGTATATGCAGAAATAACCATATACACCAATATTTTATGTTAAGTTGTCACAGGTGGTCTGCTCATCGTAACATAATACGTGCATTTTCTTGTCTTTCTGAGTTGAAGATAGACAATGATAAGAAAAACTGGGATCTTAGCAAGTTGGCAGTTTAATAGGTTCAAGAGTTATTGGGAGATAGAATGATAAGAAAAAGTGGGATCTTTGCAAGTTGTCCGACTGGCAGTTTAATAGGAAAGAAAATAATTTCTCCTCACATCATTTGTTTAAAAGTTCTTTCATTTCTCTGCAATGTTGGAGTCTTGGAGAAAGGACCCGTGACTTTGTCGTCATGCATTCACCTTAAAGCTATGAGACAGTCACTTCTACGAAAACTCTATTTTGCTTGGTTGCACCAAAGAGAGTGCTAACGCATTAAGAATTTTTGCATCTGCATCTTCTCTTATTCCCGATTGCTTTGAACACGTCTTTCTGTGAACTAATATTGTTGCATCATGGACATTTCAGCCCGCGGTGTATGACTTGCCAATGCTCCTTACAGAATAGCGACTCCCCAGGTGCAGTAAGGGTGTTGGATGGTGATATACTACTAAGCCAGGGTGCTGGACTCTTTTTTTCGTTTTCAGTCAAGGCAAAACTAGCCTTTGGTCTTTCCACATTATCTAGGGTAAAGACAAAAGTGTAATATATATATATAGCAAGATACAAGTTATAAAATCCACCACCCAACACCCCGCTAGTTGGATGACTTAAAAGCCTTTGAGAATGAATATATATATAAATTATAATACATATGTATACATAACTTGTGTAACTTTAAGTTTTTACGATATCACATATTATGAAGAACACAAAGGTTGGAAAAAGCAAAGTAGGAACACCATCATAAAAATAAAATTAAAAAAAAAAAAATCCATCAAGTTGACATCTAAGAGACTAAGCATAATCCTTGAAATCAAATGTCAAAGATGAAATGGGATGATAAGTTAAAGGCAAAGATTACATACACCTTAAGAAGTTGTTAGCAGATTATTCATGCCTCCTGCCAACATTTACACATACCCATGGAGCCCAGTGATTACAATACTCTCCCTCACACCACCCATCTTTAAGGTCAAAAATTCCAGTACAAAAAGGAAGACGAAGTAGAAGCTTCAATTCCATGACGAACGACGACAAAGACGAAAAGAACACGATAAAATATCTAAAAAGTGAGGAAGTGTATTCTACTACTAACTTCTGTTGCCAGATTGATCAAGTGTGGGTGGGCTGTTAGTCCCAGGCGCTGGCCACGCCAGCTCCGTACGATGGATTGTACCCGCCCCCGAACCCACTGTAACCGCCGCCCGTGTTGCCGCCAGAGTAGTAGTCGGGATTGCCTCGGTTGAAAGAGGAAGAGGAATCTCTTCGGAAATCACGGCCGCCGAAGCGGCCGGCACCCCGGCGGCTTTTGCCTCCGTGGGAGGATCTAGCAGCATAGCGGGAAAGCCAGGCAGGTACTTCTTGGTTTGCTTCTTGCATCAGATCTGCCAAGGAGCGCGCGAGAGAGGAATTGCCCTCGTTGAAGAAGGCGGTGGCCAGGCCGGTTTTTCCTGCTCGTCCAGTTCTTCCTATGCGGTGGACATAATCGTCAATGTCATTTGGGAGGTCGAAGTTGACCACGTGAGCAACGTGAGGAATGTCGAGACCACGTGCCGCCACGTCTGTTGCAACCAGAATCGGCGTCCTGCCACTTTTGAAAGCCCTCAAAGCTTGTTCTCTTTCCTGAATAACAAACAAACAGAAAACAGCTAAAGATGCGGTTTGATGTCCTAGACTGTAATTAAAAACACTTTTTTTTAAAGTCAAATCGAAATGAAGCAAGCAACTTTTAGCAAGAACAGAACAATAATTCAATAATCCATTGCCAAACACATATGCCAAAACTAAAGTGCGGGGAAGGTACGAGGATTCTACGATACACCCGCATTTTTAGATACCGTGCAATTCAAAAGGCATCAAACAGCATATTCCAACACTACCGACACATGTGGGGCCCATTAAAAGAAAGAAAAACTATTTCCAAGGTCACTCGTTGACTGATTCAGAAAACATCTTTGAAATGTTAAGGATGCATTGCCTACTTTTACGCTAAACTAAATCTATTGGATGGAAAGAAGAAACAAATATTTTGAATAACCACACATATTTTCTTAAAATAAGAAGGTAATGAAGTTCACAATATCAAAATTACTTAATGACGCCAAAAATGAAATTAGAGTGTGCAGGTTTCATCAATACATTAAACGAAAACCGCATTTAATAATAACACTTGCAGACAAGATTGTTTTGCGAATCACCGTATTATATAACTAGTAACCGAGCAACCATACCTGTTGTGTCCTATCACCATGTATAGCAGTAGCGGGGAAACCGTTAATACAGAGCCAATGTTCTAGAGAATCAGCTCCTTTCTTCGTCTCCACAAAAACAAGTGTAAGACATTGCTGCAAAAATTGACGTATAAAACACAATTAATAGATTCCTTTATCTAACTTTTCAAACAGTTCGGAAATTTTTGGCAGATATTAATGCCTCCAAAACCTAAACTGTTCCAAAATTAAAGACAAAGGTATAGTAAGCGGATACAAATCTTTCTGTAAAGCTGAAACCCCGATGCAGATTACCTTGCTGTGGGTCCCATTTGCCATTTGCGCAAGGAGAAGATCCATTAAATGGCTTCTCTTGTCGGTCTCTTGAACATATTCAACTCGTTGGACGATCAAATCAGTACTCGATCCAACCCTTCCGACAGCCAAAAAGATGTAGTTTGCGAGAAAATCTGCAGCCAATCTCTGCATTCACATGAATTACAAACCCGTCATTATATAGTCATTCAAATAATGTATTCAACTTAGGGCCAACAACCCAAAAACCGAGGAAACCATAACCCAAGCATGAGGTATCTAATATTACTTCGAGGTCGTAAAGTTCAAAACTTCGAACCAATCTTCGAACAAACCTGAATCTCTTTCGGGAAGGTAGCACTGAACAGCATTGTCTGTCTCACACCCGGTGGAGGCATGTCGGTTTGTTGCACAATTTTCCTTATTTGGGGTTCAAAACCCATGTCCAGCATTCGATCAGCCTCATCTAAAGCCAAATACCTAATCATCTCTAAAGAGACTCTCGCCCTCTCCAACAAATCAACTAATCTCCCGGGAGTTGCAACAAGTATATCCACACCTCTCTCTAGCTCCCGAAGCTGCCAAGATACATAATCGATACAATTAATTATTAACACATGATTCAGTGCCTCGATGTTAGCTCTCATACCAAATCAATCAAGATTTTAAACAACCGAGAATTCATAAATTAACAGGAGGGAAGGTGAAGCATTACGAAAATGTCAGTTTCATGTCTCGTGACAATGAAACAGCTTTAGCAGTAAAACATTTCCCTAATCATTAACTAAAGTAGAAATTATATGGCAAAAATAATTTAAACTCCATTGAAGTGTATAACCTACATTATATAGTCCATAAAGATAGAAAGTCTAGGCTCCGAATTAAGTTAATCGTCCAATCAAAACAATTTGCAAAGGGAAAAAGAAATAGGACCTGTTGGTTTATAGGTGCACCACCATAGGCAACAACCACCCGAACTCCAGTTTGATATGCAAACTTCCTGGCTTCTTCATGAATCTGCAAGGGAAAACAAAAAGTCAAAACCTTTTCCACAACCCAGTTCTAGAATAACGGGATCTCAGAAACCCACTTGGCATGAAAGCTCCCTTGTTGGGGAAAGAATAAGGGCAAGAGGTAATGCCATTCGTGGGCGTGGTGGCCTTGGAAATTGACCCCTCATGATCCCGCTAATGATCGGGAAGCAGAAAGCAGCTGTCTTGCCAGACCCGGTCTGAGCACAAGCCATCAAGTCCCGGCCAGAAAGTGCTATCGGGATAGCATATCGCTGCACGGGGGTTGGCTTCACATACTTGCACCTCCTAATGTTATTGTTCACAGCTTCCCCTAAATCAATCTCGGCAAAAGTATTCACGGGAGGGGGCACGTTGTCTCCACTCGTCTCAACCGGGATATCCTCGTATGCATCAAAATTAATCCCCGAATTCTCTTGCTCTTTCTCATCAAATGGCCGGTCTCCCTCGTCTCCAAACGGGTTAGACTCTCTCGGCTCCCTGCTACGATCCCAACCACCAACTCTGGTATTCCAACCACCACCATGTCCCCCACCACCACCACCTCCTCCACCACCACCACCACCTCCACCACCTCCACCCCCACCACGGAATTCATTCCTGGGACCATTCCATCGACTTACCCCAGCAGCAGGCGGCCCGCCATAATGCAACCTATCATTCCCTGACCCTGGTGCTGCAACTGCAACAGCAGCAGCAGCACTAGCATAGGAACCTGTCGCAGGTTTCGGAGGCTCCGAGGTAGCAGGTTTGTTTCTAAGGTGCGGCGGAACATAAGCTTGTTTGGTTGAATTAGACGGAGCAACTGCGGCGGCACCTTCGGCCGCGGAAACAGAATCAGCCCACGATGTTGGCATACTCTCAAAGGCGAATCAAACAAAAAGCACCAATTTTTATTGTTTTCTCTCCTCCAAAACCCTCAATTTCAAAAATTAAACTCACGCAACCCGTGATCCAACCGGTGAATTGAAACAAAGATTCTCACTTTATTATTATCGACAAACGTCAAATGAAAACCCTCACAATTTTCGTCAGCATCAAACAACAAAACCCAAATCCTTGTTCTTTTTCCTCGTTCTCGAAGCTTCACATCAGAAAGAAAACCCTGGCACACAACATTCAAAATCACAAAAATGCAGATCCAGAAATCAACATTAGTCAACACCAATTCAAAACCCACACAAGTCAAAAGGCTAAAATCACGCTACGAAATACAAATTAAAAATATATATATACACATCAACGAATACCCAGACACGACAGACAAAGAACAAACCACAGCATAACTACATGTATATTTCTAAACCCAAAATTGAAGACAGATAAACAAGATTAAGGTGGCGTACGACGGAAGGGAAGAAACCCTAAAGTTGCGATCTTTGGAGGGGAAGAGAGGGAGGGAGGCAAAAATATCTTTGAGTTTGTGTTCGTTTTGGGGTTTGGCTTTGTTGTATTCATACGTTTTCTCTCTCTAAAAAAGTGGGCTCCTGTTGGCTTTTCTCTCTCTATATTTTCGTGTCTCCGCTAATTCATCCCAGGCTCAAAATATATCATCAAAAATTGAATTTCAGCTGCGCTAGATTTCTGGCATTCTTCATTTTTTTCGCTATTTTTTTGGGGGGTTTTCAATTCACGCAGTACATACACAATATTTTGGGTGATTTTTCATGGTTATTTATATATATTTATATATTTATTTATATTTATATTTATATTTCCTTTTGTATTTACAAATATCTCGATATATAATAGTCACATTGAATGTGGACAAAAGTTAAAGATTCCTTTACAAATATATATTCCACATTTTCACCACACATCTTCACTAATTACTTAATTAGGTAGATGTAAAGAGAATAAAATATATAAACAAGTCAAAAATAAAATTGTGTGATTCTCTATTTTTAACGGTTGGTCAACCTGTTAAAAGTCGTTCGGTTTTCTATTTATCCGGTTCAAGTGGAGTGACTATTTTAATACATGTTGCGTCATTTCAAAGTTACAATTAGTTCGTTTTTAAGAAGAATTGAAATTATTATACTCATATAATAAAATGGTTGTAATTAATAATTATGATAGGATGTACTATGAAGTGCAAATAAAAATGTGCATTTATTTGTTTTTTTAATACAACAAAAGAAAAAGCAATTAGAATTAACGACTACAAAAGTTGTGATAAATTGGGAAATTAGTGAGTGTGTGGTATAAGAATTATATATTTTTGTTGAATATTTTAATATGATTTATCTCTTTTATGTAGATTGTGAGATTCATTTAATACACATTATCAGAGTATCGAATATTTGTTGTGAATTTTATTTGTCACCCAAAAAAAAAAAAAAAAGTGAAAGTCATATAGTGAGTACATCAATTTGTTTCTAGACGCAAAAATAAGCATTTATTTGATTTTAGTTTTTTGGGACCATTTATGGTTTCCCTTCACGAAGAAGAAAATGAATGACTTTACATAGTGGGGTTGACTCAAATTATTCATTAATTCTTTTTTTTTTTTTAATAATTAACCATAGATTTGGATTCTCTTATTATTAGTGTCTCATAAAGCGTATTTAATCTACTCCAATCACATCATTACACGCTTTACAAATTTCATTACGCTCTCTCTCTCTCTCTCTCTCTATATATATATATATATATATATATATATATATATATATATATATATATATATATATATTGAAGAAGAAAATAATAATAATAATATAATATAAAAGCATTGGTGAAAAATAAATCTAACATTTGTGCCTTTGTGAAATTTTATTAAAATTTTAGTTATTTTTACAAATTTGTTTAAACAAAAAATATTCATCTTGATTTGGATAAGGTATGCATGGTTCTAAATATATTTTTTTAAAACAAAAATAATGTAACTTAATGTAATTAAGTTATAGTAAAAGTCAACAACTTTATCAACAATCAATTAATAACTATAAAAATTTGCAAAGTTAAATTATTGCTAACATATTTTAAGTCGAACCAGTCACACATTGTCCATATTCGCACATGATCTTCTTAGTATTGATTTATTTATCATGTGTGATTTGCGGGATATTGCACAAAGAACAAAACTTACTCAATGTCCACTTTTGACTTTTGAGTAATAATTGTAGTTTCCCTTCAGCAAACAAAAGAAAAAAATGCAAACTTGACTGGACCTTGTCAAAAAACAAGATTTGATGAAAAGTTAAAAGAAAAGTTGCAGTTTACTATCCAACATTGAACTCTCACGAATGACCACAGGCCAGCTTCTTGCACAAAGAATAATGAAAAATGTGCAGTGAAACATGAAACATCCTTATCAAGAATTCCCAAATCCTAAAACAACAGTTGTTACCTAAACATTGACAATTAGTTCTTGATCACAAGAACAAGTTCTGTAACAATCAACATTTCACAGGACCGTCCAGAAGAAAAGGATTGATTATCCAAATGCAGGCTGTGGGCAAAAAGTTCAGCTTTATTGCGATTTTGCAGCAGTGAAATTCAACATGAGGCAAATACCCGGTCTAAAAACAGTTCAAAAGTAGTTGCTTTTGTAGAAGTTTTTAAGGAAATTGGAGGAGCCTTGGTCTTTGGCATCCCCGTCCTGCATGAAATCTTCATGGCCCGTGACATATTGACCAATGATGTGGTGCCTTTGCTTCGAGTGGTCCACGACATTCTTCAGCTCCTCCATCCCCTTGAACAGCAGCATATCAATCACCTGTAGGTAGACAAAAAGTTTTACATGAAAAATTTCCTTGCCAATTTACTCGAGTCTCTTACACTAAAATGATATCATGTAAACACGAACTTAGGGGCTAGAGTGAACACGCAGAATTACTGGGTCAATCGATTCGATTAGTTTTTAGACATTGCCTCTACAGTCATAAAGTATTATAACTCCACATATAATAGTTCACTCTATAATATCATTGAGAGACACTACCCCAAAACATAGATTTAAGTTTACTGCTAGATGAGCTGATGAATAAAGCACAGGTAGTTTTTTCATGTATACCATTGTATGTACACAGATGGTAATAGCTCAGTCCGTAACATCATTAAGAGACAATGACCCAACCATAGGTTTTAAGTTTACCATTGAATCAAAATTTCAAAATAAAACCAAAGGTCTATTAAAAGGATAGATGCTGCCTTTGCATATGTATGGTTAGGAAGTAATTAAGACTATCAAGACTATCAAGACTATCATTAACACTGCAAAACTAGTCTAGAAAGAACAAAATAGATACATAGTATATAATTATCTCACAGAGAATTAAACATGCTGGGATTGGTTTTATATATAAATGAAAAATGGGAATCTATATAGTGTTTATGCGGGGGTGCTAAAGGGGTATTAGAGTCAAAAGGAACATAGAGAAAATTCAAGAACAATGAAAATCATCAAGATCTTATATCAAAGATCAAATCATTTTGGATCTGCAGGAAGATGGAATGACCCTTTATGCTCCCACAAGTCTCATCACAGATGAAAAATATTTTGACCCCGGGTCTGCAGTGATACTAATACAAGGCAAATAGACCCCGGGTCTCCAGTGATACTAATACAAGGCAAATACATCTGTCATGTGTGAGCAATATTTAGGTGGAAATACAATAATATTCATATGGTAATACATGGCAGTACAATGTGCAATGTGCTGCCAACAATATTTAGGTGGTAATACACTAATACTTGAATATTAGTGTATTAGACTAACAGCATTGTGCTCCCTCGCATAATAATACCATTACCACATTTTTTGGCTAAGTAATCGTTACAGCATATCAGCTCAAACAACATAACTGATTTAAATCATCTTCTATTAATCCCTGTTTCAAACTTGCACATGGTGAGATAGATGCATCAGCGCATGCGTGTACAGAGATTACAGCAGCCCATGCCGGTGGAAAACGAAGAGAAATCTTATGGTACAAACAATAGTGCACCATGTGGAAAACCTGTAAGTACTCCGGAGTAATTATCCTCACCCATTTTCTCCTCTTTCAACTGAAAAGTGGTTTCGACTTTCCACATAACAGATTGATGCTTACTCATCACATTGTTTCCCTCCACTTACTTTTCCTCGTAATAAGCATAATACACACCCCACAACCCACCCAAATTATTGAGGAAAAAAACAAGAACATGTACTAGAAATCATACTCTTTTTTCTTCATGAAATTCCAGGTTCCGAAGTAGCACAAAGTTTAGGATAAACTTACCTTATAACAAAATGAAAGGTCGAAACTTTCTCTAATGAAATCATAAATAAGAGACAAACATGCCAATTCTAATTTCCTAACCTAAGGAACTCACTTCTTTTCATATTTTTTTCACCCCTTTGCCTTTCATGGTTAAGAAATGCCACACATTACCATTTTCACAAACTAGTTAATATAAATTAGATAACAGGCAATTATCAATTTTGATCTTTCATAACCCATACTCTCCAGGTAATTCGCACCCCAAAAAAAAAAAAGACATCTTTTTCCGCCAAACTAAATTAAAAGCTCAAAACTTTCTTCAGCAAACTCAAAATGAAGGCTTAATTAATGTCAATTGGGCATTTCAAATTTCTCTCTGTGACCGATTGAGGTTCAATTTCAATTAGCCAGTGAATCATCAGAATTAGCATTACAAATTAACCAAAGCACTAATTGAATACACGGAGTAATAAATAAATTGACGCATGAAGCTAAAAGAGTGAATGTTTATAGTTTCTTATTGATTTAATTACCTTAGGGTTAGTGACGCTGGCGTTACGGCGGAATTCAGAAGTAATGGCAGAGCGGAGTTTGGAGGGGTTAACGACGTCGTAGAGATTGTAGATTTCCATAACCTGAGGAATAGATCTACAGCACATCCGGAAGAAATCGAAGGTCCGGTGGCGAGCCTCCTCCAGGCTCATCGAGTTCGGCGGAACCTTAAACTGCTTCATCAAATGCGCCATCGCCGACGAGCGGATGAGATATGAGAGAGATATAGAGAGAGAGATGGATATGGCAGAATCGAAAATAGGGAGGAGAAAGACAGTCGATGAGCAGTGGAGTTAAAAGTTAAAACTGATAGGTATTCTAGGGGCTTAATTTAGGGGCGTGTTTGGATAGTGGTGAATAAAAACTAAAGTCGAAGCAAAACAATTTATATTTTAGGCATTTTTTTTTGGATAATGAAAGAAATTTATAGTCATTGTTTGAGCTTTGTATTGTATATATAATACTTTGTATGTAAACCATACAAAATAAGTAAATTGTAATAAAAAGGCTTTGTGCAATAAATCAGATAAAAAAAGTATTTACAAAAATTGAAATTGTGATTTTCAAACAGAAGATACAATTTGTGGTCTTTGATTTTTATGTGAGTAAAATAATTGAATTTATAATAAATTTGTATTTTACAAACCTATTTTCTAAAATGTAATAGGTCACAAATTTATGTCACTCCAATGGATATACAAACACAACATGTGACTCCTACCAAAAGATTATAGTGTTTTTTGGTATCATATCGCTGCGAAACTAATACAGATTCAGTTCATGTCAAGCTCGTTAATTCAGATTCAGTTCAAGTCACGCTCGTAGAGTTTCTCTTATGCCGGAGAAGGTCTAATCCGGAGCTTTTTAACACCCGGAGAGTTTCCAGTTACATTAGCAGCCGACTAACCAACTGTCACAAACTGTTAGGTCGAAAGATTAGTAGTTTAGGCATATATAAACAAGTGGATGGAAGCTGGATTGTCAGTAATTCCAAAATATTTGATTGCTACGGAACTTTTTCTTGAGATAGGTTCTTATAAGCTCTTTATAGGTCCAACTTTGTTTCCTACTGAACTCCAAGAAGGCGTCTGAACTCAAGTGGAAATCCCCTTTCCCCATAGCCTCGAAAATGAGTGGATCTGTTAACATGGCAACACGATCGTTTACATTCATTTTGTTTAAAGCAAAATCCAGGTTCCTTCCTAGTCTTCTGTCCAAGTAAGCGTCAACTACAGATCCATAAGTCACGAGATCAGGAACCACTTTTTCATGCTTCATGTGTTCGAGGCTTACGTGCAGATCCCAGAACAGGCACATTTTCGAAAAGGCCATTGCACGAATGTTGAACGTGGTAAGATCGGGACGGAATCCATATTCTACCATTCTGACAAATTCTCTCTGCAAGCTTTTCATTTTGAATTTCGCGGCATATGATAGTAGCAAAAGATTCCAAAGCAGGTTTCCAACGTTCTTCCTACCAAGGCCTACGTCCCTGAGGAACTGACCCAAATAGTAGAACTTCTCCTCTTTGATATAAGCAGTAGAGATCGACCTAATTGCTTCTTCCTCTACGAGAATCCTTGACCTCTTAAGACGCATGTAAGCCCGTTCCATTTCAGAAAGTGAACCAAAACGGCTGTAATATATCACGTAAGCATTTCCAGTGGCAGAATCTACAGGGAAGCCCATGGAAACCATTTCCTTTAACGTAATTTCCATCAATTGAAGTTGCCCTCTCTTTCCAAAACAAGATATAGCCAGTGCATAAACACGTGGAACCATGCTAGAGTCTTTCATCTGTACTTGATGAAGAATTTTGACAACCATATCAAAATATCCCATGCACCCATAGATATCAATTAGTTTCGCAACTACTCGAACATCCAGCACAAAAGAACTGTTTAGTATTTCATCCCAAACTGCCTGTGCTTTACTGAGTAAACCGTTATTGGCATAGCATAACATCAGAGCAGATAGGGTAGAAATGTCAAGTAGAAAGCCTTCAGATTTCATACCAAGTACAAGCCTTTCGGCTACTAGAGGTAATCCTTTTATACTCAAGTCCTCTATCGATGAAGCAATGTTTGCATAAGAACCATTCAAAGCAACTTTCTCCACTTTGTTGTGCCATGGTTCCTATTATCAACACAGCAAATAAATGTAGGATGAAAATAAAGAACACCATATTTAAATTTGATATGTTTCGTTCATGGAAGTTGGATTTCATAAAACCAAACAAACAAATAACTTTGAGCTTCTAATTTCAAGTCCAACTCGGATTTGAGCCAGCTAGCGTTTGAGTCAGATTGTGCAATCCCCAGTTAATTCATGAATACAAATGATGATTAAATGTTTCACAAGCCACAACATACAGTACAAATTTAGCGCAATAGCATTTATCAACATTTATCATAGTTATCTCAAGTTTTAAAACTTCAGTGATGTTTTTATTTTCTTTAATTAATGATGAATAAGGGTGTTCATCAAAGGATAATGCTAATCTTCAGCTTCTTGTGTCTGTCCCAATTACTGTTTCAACAAAATTTTGCCTTAAGCTACTCATAATAAGAATCCTCCAAAAAAAAAACATTTTTTCTGCCAAACTAAAATTAAAAGTTCAAAGCTTTCTTCAACAAACTAAACATTAAAGCTTAAGTTTGATATTTCAAATTTCTCAAAAACCCAGAACCCCAATGACTGGGTGAGGCTCATTTACTATTAGCCAATAAATCATTAGAATTTGCATTCCAAATCAATCAAAGAACTGTTAAGATAAGAACTAAATCACTGCATGAAACTAAAAACAATGATTTTTTTATTTTTTTTTTTACAGATTCTTGTTGATTTAATTACCTTAGGGTTAGTGAGGTGGGCATTCCGGCGGAATTCAGATGCACCGGGAGAGTGAAGGTTGCATGTACGGAAGACCTCGAATGTCCTGCGGCGAGCCTTCCCCAAGCTCATCGAGCTCGGTGGAACCTTACAGTTCTTGATCATATGAGAGCTGTGTTGAAGCCGAAGAGGAGAACAAGAAGCTCAACACTGAGAAATTAAAAAAATAAAAATAAAAAATTAAGCTTGCAGGAGATGGAGCTGCAAAAAAGAAAGGTATATTGAAGTATTGAACTGCGCGCTAATGGCTTCCTATTGGTTTTTGGTTCCGTGTGGATAATACATGGCTGCAAATATGCCAAAAAAAAAAAAACACAATAAAATTAAAATTAAAATTTGTATTCCAATGGTAAATTTTGCTATTATGTAATAGGTAACACACATAAAAAAAAATGTTGGTTAAAATTAAAATTGTTATATTATAAAAACAATGTTTAGTCATTCTTTTTGGACTAACTCTTTAATTATTGACTATTTCACTTATTAATTAATGAGAGTAATCTTGGAATAAATGAACATTTATGAGCATCTTGAATAAGGCCCTGTTTGGTAAAATGACTGTTAGCTATTAGCTGTTTGTGTTAATTAGATGATATAAATAGTTAATAACATTAGCTGATTGTAGAAAAGTGTTTGATAAATTAGCTGATAGCTGTTTGATATAATTTATTTTTTCAAAAAAATAATTGAAAAAGTTGCTTGGAGTAGCTTTTTGAATTTTAGCCTTTTGGAGTTGCAAAAAGTTAATTAATCAAACATTTATATCGATATTTTAACTAAATCAAACAATTAATAGTGGTCAAATAAGTCAAAATTAGTCTATAGACAATTTTTTTACCAAACAGGGCATATATCTTATATCTTTAAACAACTTAATCTTCGTTCACCCTATCACCATTTTATGATTACTAATTGCATATAGTATAATTTCCGTAGTATATATTATTGATAAATTGTGAAAGATCTTAGTAATATAACTTATGTATTTATATTAATATATGTGTGTATACACCGTATACATAAAATTTTATAATCTTGTGAGTTATAACTCTGTATATATTGTAAAGGTTGTATACTCGATTTTTTTATGAACCTCTTGTAGTATAGTAGAACATTTGATGAATATCGTATTTGTTTAGTTTTATCATTTCATTTATAATTGTTTTACTTGTTTGTGCAATTTGAAGCATGTTACATACTTATTTTTATTATATTAATTGTGGCAAAGTGATGTGAAAGTAATGTTCGTAAAAACATGTAAAATTGAGCTATATAGATGTAAGGAGAATTGTGAAATTTGTTACGAAAGTTAAGAAGGCGGAAATATCATATTAAGAGTGTCAAAATTGAACTTGGAAACTCAAAAGAACAAAAAGAAATCATAAAAACACATTTTGAAACATGGATTAAGGATTACATAGTGATTCCCCTTGTGGCAAGATTTTGCAAGCACTTTTATGAAAAATCATGATCGAAATTAAAAACTTTTGATAACTATAAATGTCACGACGTGATCATATCAAGCTAACTTTAATAATCAACATGTATGATAAGTAACATCTTAATAAATACGAGAAGTATCATGACAATATTGTAATATATGATATATGATATTATAAAAACGAAAATGCTCATTTCTTCTATGGTTTTTACCTTCAATTTTTTTTTTGTCATGATGTGACTTTCATTCATTAGGTGCCAATAAAATAGTTAATTTATTAATAACTAATAAATAAAGTTAACTACCAATCACACAATCACACTATAATACATTAAGAAGAACAAATTATAAGGAAATTATATAAAGGGTAATTTTCGATAATATACCTCATTAAAAAAGTCATTTATTACTCCCAAAAAAAAAAGTCATTTTATTTAAAGGAACGGGACGATGGCCAAACGGTCCCTACCCCAAAAAAAATAATAATGTAAAAACCGCATTAAGTAATTCACGGTGTACATTTTTGGAAAAAACACAGTGGATTTGTTGTTCTCCATCTCCATCAGTCCATCGCCATTAATGTCCGTGCAGTTTCTCTCTCCTCATTCGTCCCTGTAGACCGGAGGAACAAACGACGTCGCATACTCAGGAACGAGAACGAGAGCGTGAGAAAATAATCAAATCTCAAATCGAACCCCGCCACCCCCCCTCCCTCCCCAACAATCTAGGGTTTCTTCTTTCTTCTTCCGAGGGCACTCTGTCCGAATAAAAAAGAGAAGGAACGACGCCGTACCAGGAGAACACGGAGCAGCATGGATCCAGTGCCGTCGAGCGCTGCTCATGGAAACCTCGATGAAAATATAGCTCAGCTCATGCAGTGCAAGCCCTTGTCCGAACAAGAGGTGCCTCAAAATTTTATTCGGGCATTTATTTATTGTTTCGTTAAGATTGTTATTTCAGATCCGGATTCTTCATTTTTCTTTTTTGCTTTTCCTCGGTGTTTACAATTCATGTTGGAATACAACTTTTGAATTTGTAACCTGAGTGTATGGCATTAATTATCGCTTTCTTACATAGATCCGTTGTTTACTTGATTCTGGTGGAATAAGGAAATGCTAAGAAATTCTGAGGTCAAATTTGAAAATTTTTCATCATTTCTGTCCCATTTACCTGTCTAAATTCATCCTTCTAAATGGAATTTGACTTTTAGGAAGAGATTTGAGCTTTCCCACTTCCAACAGGGTGCTTACATAGAATAGATTTTAATATTAATATAAAGTTACAAACTTGAGATTCGAGTTGGAGGTGCTGGAATCCTTAGTTGTATTTGAGACTGGAACTTTTGAGCTATTTTTTCTTTCCTCTCCTTTTGCACTCTGATGTAATGAGATAATGCTTTGCTGTCCATATGAGCTTAAGATAACAGAGAGTCGGGGAAAGGGGCAGGGCAGCAGGGGATTGGCTATACCAATCATACATACTCTAGCATATTCTTCTGCATAGACTTCTTTCTTTACAAATGTTGCATTCTTTCTTAACACAGGTGCGAGTGCTATGTGAGAAAGCTAAGGAAGTTCTGATGAACGAGAGCAATGTACAGGTATGTCAGTTTATGGTTACTGCTTTCAAACTCTCCAATGCTCTCTATCTGTCTCTGGATTTTCTCCTTTCCTTTTGATATTTTCCTTTCTCATTTCTTGGGGTTGGATTTTGGGGGCAGTGCAGTGTAATTAATTTGACTTTATACTCTAATATAATGCACAGTCTTCTGCTTTAGTTGAACTTATAAATTTCAAGATTTCACCTTTTCTAAAGTGCAGCTCTGTTTTTTTCACTTGAAGATATATCTTTCATTGATAGAATGATAGTATGTTTTTGTATTTAGTGAAGAGTGGACTTTTAATTTTGTCTGAGAATGTGAGTTTCACAAAGACTTTACAGAACTTACCTTTGTTTTGGCCTAAACATGACAGACTTTAATTTTTCTTCACTACAAGAAGCTATTTACCAAGTTTGTTAATCGTTTCATTCAAATCATTTATGATTTTCAATGGGGCCAGGTTTTAATTTATCTAAAACCGTCTCATAGAAATGAGGTTGTCAGTTCGCAACTTTGCTTTAGACTCTAAAGGGTCAGTCTTTTCCCTTTTGCAGCCTGTGAAAAGCCCTGTGACCATATGTGGTGATATTCATGGGCAGTTTCATGATCTTGCTGAGCTCTTCCGAATTGGTGGAAAGGTACTTGCTTGCACTTAGGTATTAATGTATTATGCAATGCATTGATGTGCTATCTGCAGTCACAACTTTTCCTAGGCACATTTAATCGTTGATCACTACTTTGTAATCTCACAATGCTTGACATATTTGTATAAATGAGTTATTTCTGTTGGGGAAATATGCCTATTGTTGTAGATTAAAATTTTTATAAACCATTCCGACAATTTCAAGAATATAAGCTCACTAACAATCTGTACAATGAAACATGTACGTTTCTAATTTTGTGAACAAATTCTCACAACTGCTTCAATGGATGACATCTTTTGGCAAACACTAATATAATGTTCAAACTATAGCATCACTATATCACTATATATTTATTAAGTCAAAATGACCAGTTAAAAATGAAATAGGAGGGCGAAGGTTAACAGATATCCACTAGTTACACTTTCTCTTAGTGAAATCTACTATTTGATAAGTGCTCTATTCTGGATTACTCGTTTCCTGTGTACTGGAGTTCTTGCTGTTGAGTATTGCAAATATCACACCTGTGTTGCTTATGTATTGATGTCAGTGGTGTATGTTATCTGAGTTTGTCATATTTATGCTCAATACTTTTATCTTATTGGCAGTGTCCAGATACCAATTATTTGTTCATGGGAGATTATGTAGATCGTGGATACTATTCTGTTGAAACAGTAACGGTAGGTTTTACTTCACATCATAGCTTGGTGTTCAATTAAAAAATCTTCTCCTGTGAAATAGTGGTGAATATATTGTTGTTGGTTGCTTTCCAGCTTTTGGTGTCTCTCAAAGTTCGCTATCCTCAACGAATTACAATCTTGAGAGGAAATCATGAAAGTCGACAGGTATACATCTGTGGTCCTACCAGATTTTCATTTGTTGCATTTTTCCCTTTAACATCATTTTCAGAGATCTCTTCTTTCCTACTGGATGTATAATTTTTGGCATTTTCCTATTAGCATCACTGTGTGTTTCTCTTCCTTAAGTGAGTTAAATTATTGCACTAATTCGTACTCAATTATATATTGAGTCATTTATCACGATGTCGTAGTCCTAGAACGCTTCATCCCCCTTTTGGCTTCTCCATATACTTGTTTCTCCTAACTTTATAACAGATTCAGGATCCTTTTGTCAAATTTTGATTGTGAAAACTGATGGCCTGTTTTTTTTGCAGATTACTCAAGTTTATGGGTTTTATGATGAATGCTTGAGGAAGTGAGTTCACAAGACCTTGACCAATTATGATTTTCTAGATGTAGGCTTTTCTTTTAGGAAAGAAAAATGGAATGAGTGCATTTATGTTTAAAAAATGAGGTGGTTCTGCAGGAGCTTTCTAAGTTGTAGTTGCCATGGCTTTGTTGCTTTATAATGTTAGAATGTTACAATAGCTGATTTGCTCTTTGCTCATATGAACTTTATTTGATTTTGGTGGGGGTAAGGTTTAGTATGATTCTAAGTGGAATGTACTATCTCAAATGCTAGGTGATACTGGGGAATTATTGTTTTGTTATGTTTTAAGTTCAAATCTATAGTATAACGTGTCAAAGCAGTAGTTCAGCAAGACTACTTTAGCAGTTTGGTCCATTTATATGCCTAATTGATCTGTAATGTCTGTTAAGTAATATTTGTTCTCACTTCTGTCTGTAGCTTTCTTCTATATTTCTCTTTGAATTGTTATATTAGCAAGTGCACATTGGTTGACTTGCAGTTACATTTTACAGATATGGAAATGCTAATGTGTGGAAGACTTTCACTGATCTGTTCGACTATTTCCCACTTACTGCTTTGGTTAGTACTGCATCTTGACCCCTAATATTTCTCTTGATACTTGTTAGTTTATGTGCAAGATTTCGGTCTTCATTCATGAGATATGGATTGCGTATTTTCCTAATATTTAGAGAATGCTCTGTGATGGATCATGGATTTAGATGTTATGATCTTTGTTCTTTGTATTATTATTTTTGCATCATGAATTAGGTACACGGGGAAGTATCATGCTAGTATGCTACAGCCTATATTTCACGTTTTAGACTTTTAGTATGTATTGTTGAATTTGTGATCTTTCATTCAAGTGCCCTTTGGGTACTAAAATTAACGAAACAGATAACTCTCACAATAAAATCACCAGCATAAATTGCTGATCTAACATCATAATTTGCTATTGGTGGTTCAGTAAGTAAATCTTAGTGCCGGGTTTATTGCAAGATAATAATTTTGGTTTGCAATGTTGCTCTAAATTTATGATCATGTATTTTGGTTAATTTTTAAACTGAACCATTAATCATGCCTGTACTGATGGTCTGATTGATATATTTCTTTAAATTTTTCTTCTAGGTTGAATCAGAAATATTCTGTCTTCATGGTGGTTTGTCACCATCTATTGAAACACTTGATAATATTCGTAGTTTTGACCGTGTACAAGAAGTTCCACATGAAGGGCCAATGTGTGATCTTTTATGGTCTGATCCTGATGATCGTTGTGGTTGGGGTATATCACCTAGGGGTGCTGGATATACCTTTGGCCAAGTAATTCAAACTCTTTTCACCATTTTCTTTCCATTTTAGAATACTTAGTGGTATGACTTTTACAGGCTATCTTTTTCTTTTAACTTAACAGGACATATCAGAGCAATTTAACCATACTAACAACTTGAAGCTTGTTGCTAGAGCACACCAGCTGGTTATGGAGGGATTCAATTGGGCTCATGTAATTTTTTACCTAAAACATTTGGACGCTTATTGTAAATCTGGTTGGAGAGAAATAGGAATTAGATATTTTCTGTCTCTTGCAGGACCAAAAGGTTGTTACCATATTCAGTGCTCCTAATTATTGTTATCGATGTGGAAATATGGCATCCATTCTAGAAGTCGATGACTGCAAAGGCCATACATTCATTCAGGTATGTCTCTCTCTCTCTCTCTCTCTCTCTCTCTCTCTCTCTCTCTCTCTCGTGCTTGATGCATACCTGTCTCATGTGTACACTCCACATTTACACGCTTTATTGTTTGCCTCTGATATTGGTGTAAAGTGCTTCTAAATATTCACTCAACCTATCATTTTACAGTTTGACCCAGCCCCAAGGAGAGGGGAGCCGGATGTAACCCGAAGAACACCAGAATACTTCCTGTAAAGCAGCTCTATGAAGAGAGCTGGGTTCTGTGCAGAAGCTCACACCATAGCTGCTTAGCCTGGTGGCTTCTTAGTAATTGACACTTGCAGTTCTGTTGTTGGTGAGATGGCATAAAGCATGTAGAAAAGGACAGGTGAGACTTCTCTGAGTTGCTGTCCAGAAACCTTTCCGCAATACAATTAAGAGCCTGAAGCTTGATTAGGGTTCCTGCGTATGTATCATTTCATGCGTTAGTTTTGTTACTCGTTCTATTAATTTCCTTCCATTTTTCCGTTTCTTTCATTCTTCTAGTAGGGTAACCATTTTTTAACTTCTCTCCAGTACTTGTGTTCCTTATATAGCATTAACGTCAGGTGCATTCTGTCTTTAGATGAAAGACCAGTCATAAAATTTTCTGTATTGGGTGGTTTTAAACCCTAATTTTTCTTTGTTGATCTGTTGATCCATGGCGGCTGACCGGAAGCAATCTCTTCTAGGTTTAGCCACCCAAAAAACAGAATTGCCAGGTCTTTCTGCTTTGTAGTATTGTTTTTTGTCTTTGCTGTTTGAGTATGTAAGGCTACAACTTTGATAAATGAAAAAAATGCTTCACATTGTTGATTGGAAACAAGTTCTTGTTTGGATTACTACTTATTTTCTTGTTCTAGACTCAAAAAGTGTATCTTTTTTGCCCTGAAAGGGTGATCGATTGGGTGGAGCATGATTCTTGTATTTTTTTTGATCAGACTATGAAGTGTTATGAGCAAATCCTAACTGTAGTAGGCACTTTTAAGCCAGTACTATACTCAGACTAATCCCTATTTGTACCGAGCCGGTCCAATTAAGGGATAAAGTGCTGGTCAGATTGGTTTTTCCATAGTAGAGGGGTTTGAACTCCCGACCTCTTGATCAAGCTTGTTGCATCATAGTGCAATTTACTTACTTCTTATGTATAGTTTGTGGGTTATTAGAAACGGCGCATAAAAGAGGTTGAGTACCATACATGATTGTACCAACAAATTTATTGATATTGTAAGCTTTTTTAAAATAAACACAACAATTTATCGACAATTTCTAAAAAATTCTAAGTTATAGATCAACATTTGTGGTTTTTGCACATGATTTACCACTAGACAATTAGTATCATAAACATTCCCTAAACAAACATAACAATTTGTTGACAATTCCCTGCCCTTTTTAACTAATTCTCTTCACTACTATCAAACATAACCCACTTTTTTTCCTTACAAAGTTTCATGAGAAAGTACCAAACAACCCCAAACAGAGTGAGCAGAGCACTGATCCAAAACACAGTCTTAGTAGCAGCAGTCATCACATACACCAGAAACACAGAAGGCACCAAGCACATCACCACCAGCCATGGAAATGGCAATGGAACTTTGTAAGGCCTCTTAACGCTCGGCATCTTCTTTCTCAGCCATAGAAACGACGCGAATTCGAGCAGCATCCCCAAGCTGTACAAGAAGTTAACAGATGATATAATGTTGGTGAAGTCCATATATGAGACTCCCAGTGCCACTAGAGTTGAGACCAAGATCCCTATCCATGGAGTATCGAACCACTTGGACCGTGTCCCCAGAACCCGGGGGACAGCCCCGATGTCCGCCATGCCAATGATCTGGTAAGCACAGCTGCTCAGCTGGGCTTCATAGAGCCCCACTGCTGACAAAACCGCCCCGATTTCCACCCAGTATTTCAGCCATTTTCCGGCAATCATGGCTGCCAAATCCGCGAAATGGCCGTCTGTCCAGCTTGCTTGATCAAGAGGGGTGGCACCGGTGGTGGCTAAAAGGGGGATCAAGTAAGCCAGACAGGTCAAAATCCCAGCTGAAAACAGTGCCTTTGGGAATGTTTTCTGAGGCTGTTCAACTTCCCCAGCTAAAGTACTGGCATTATCCCAGAAATTCAGGTTCCAGAATAGGGTATTGAAGAACAAGTTCCAATCTTTAGGGACACCTTCCTGCCCCAAACTAACCCATCTTTTGGGATCAATCTTGGGGATTGAAATTACAGAGAGGACTAAAAATGGGCATAGAGACACAATCCCCAGAAAGAATGCAGTGTACCCAACAATTGAAAGACCAGAATAGTTCAGAAATGAGAGCAACAAAGTTATGGAGAAGTTAGCCAACATCCTGGGAATCCCCGAAGAGAAAACTGGGAAAACCAATTTGAGATAATCTATGTATAAAGCTGGGTACGATGCCAGATTGATGACCCCACTGAGGAGCTTCCAAGAACCCATCAGGGATCCCCAGAAAGGGCCGAATGCCTTGTGGGCCCAGATCACAAATCCGCCATTTCCGGGGAAAGTGGTGGCGAGCTCCGCCGTCACCAGGGCTTCCGGGATGCTCCAGATAAACGGGAAGACAAGGAATCCGAGAATCGCCAGAAGCGGCCCCGCCGCGCCCACCGCCAATTCCTCGCCATAGGGCCCGCCGGCGACCTCGAAGTAGATGAGGAAGATCAGGGGGATGAGAGCGAGTTTCTTGGAGTTCTTGGCGGGATTTGTCGCCGGAGATTGCAGCTGCTGTTCTTCATCTTCAAGAAGGGATTGCGACGGAGAAGATGAGTCAGCAGATGCACCACCCATGGAATCTGGAATGGAAGAAGAGATATTTTTGGCGAAGAAGAATCTGATTTTAAAGATTCATCTGAGAATGCTGAGTTGTGTGACAGCAAACAGTTTGATGCTTTTAAGAAATAACAACTCAACCAAAGTTACCAAACATTATCTTCTTCAAAGATTCAATTTTTAGCATGAAATGAGTGTTGGAATGAATATATCAATATAACACGACTCTCCCCACCTAAAAGTTTAAGTTTGATTTTTGTTAATATTTTTTGTTATTGACTCTATTACAATGTAGTATCTGTACATAATTATTTTTCAACCTAAGCCTAAAGAGTCAATGCCGTCTCCGCTGAAGCTCAAACTCACACCCTCTCATATGGAGGTCATGGTTGAAAAAATTGCTAGGCGCTTGGGAACTAATCAGCGCCGAGGCGCCCATATATTTTTTATTTAAAAAAAAATTATTTAATTTTTTAAGACTTGATAATTAATAACTATTTAATACTTAAATAGTTAATACTAAAATATTAAATATTAACTTAAAAAACTTCTAGAGTTTGATCAATTTAGGATTATTTCACTCAAAACAATTTCGTTTTGAGTAAAATAACTCATTTAAAAAAGAATGAAACAATAGTTAATTGGCCAACTAGGTGACCTAGTTGGTGCCTAGGCGGCCTAGTTGGCCGCCTAGCCGGCCAAGGGCCTAGACCACCGACTATGGTGATACGCTAGGCGGCTAGCCAGCGCCTAGCGCCTAGGGGCCTAGACCACTGACTATGGTGATATGCTAGGCGGCCGGCCAGCGCCTAGCGCCTAGGCGCCGATTAATCGATGCCTAGGCGGAATTTTTGCAACATTGATGGGGTGTAACCTTGATGCTATTTGATTTTTGTATTTAATAGTATATTTAATGTAATTTTTAAACATATAAATTTTATATGTTAATATTAAAATTAATATTATGAAAAATAAAATTAAAATTAACTACAGTCAAATTCCGTTAATTGAACTAGATTAATGACGAAGGAGTATATATTATACATGTTTAGTTTGGAGTAATTTTATTTAATTAGTTCTTGATAATTACTTCGTACTTAACAAGATCGAAACTAAATATAAAAATTTGTAACATTAGATTTAATCACATCCAATAATATAAAATGAATTTAATATAAACAATATTAAAAACATAAAACTAAAGAAGTAAGAACACGTGAAACTATGGTCTTGTTATTAATTATATTTATTAACCATAGGTTACTATCATAGCTTAAGGTATGACGCACTCACTCGATCAACTGGTGCCCTGTCGGCAAATCAGAGATAAACTAGTAAGACCTATGGTTTCACGTGACAAATTATCATATATATATATATATTTTTTTTTGAATGCTACTAGCTCTATTACATTGTAGTATGTGTTCATATATTTTCTCAACCTACTGAAACATAAAGAGCTAATAACGCCTCCACTAAGGCTCGAACTCACAACCTTCCAAATGGAAGTCCAACCCGGATACTATTAGACCACATAGTCCTGGTAAATTATCATATATATAATATATACGATATATGAGAATTCAGAACTTAGTTTTTGGGCCAAATTTCATGGAATTATGAGCCTTTATTCTCATGGGTTTTATAACAAAATGACATTGGGCTTATGAGAAAATGCAAATTATATAGTACGCTTTAAACTACAAAGAACATAGGATCAAATAATCGACTTAATTAATCAATTGCATATGTATTTATCTTTAGCCTAAGTTAATAATACTAAAAAAAAAAGGCCTATAAGTTAGTAATATTGTAACGGAAATATTAATTTTGACTGTTACATGTTTTAAATTTCTGACCCATTTAGTGTTATTTTGTGATTTTCTTGCATTCTCCCCTTGATATTTACTACTCCATAATATATAAACTTTTTATAAACTACACAATCAATTGAATTAGGAAGGGATATAATATAAATTTACAAGAATAAACTTAAAAGTTAAGATTTTAAACATTTGACGGCCAAAAAATTACCGAGTAACATTTTGTTGTCTTCAGACTAATTCTGCCACAACATTGACAATTCAAGAATTAACGGTATAGACACATTTTGTATTTTTGTTGGAAGTGTCATTGCAAATTTCTCTATCTCTCTTATTTAAAAAAAAAATATTTTGTTTTATGATATATGGATGATGATTCTATTTATTATCTTGGTATACTTTTCTTTTTCCAAACAAGTGGAATAAGAGTTTTCAAAACTTGAAAAATCGTACAAAACTAAATGTATGTTTAATAATATAAAATAAGAATTCTCAACAGACGAAAAATCACACAAAACTTAGTGTCAAATATAAAATATTTATAAATTATTTCACAAAACACTATATATCCCCACCCACCCACTCCCACCACCTACCAAAAAAAAAAAAAAAAAAGATAGATGGTCCCACTTTTAATGATTAAGTGAGCAAAACATTCTTTTCATTCTTAAATAATTACAAATTTTATAATATAGTATGTAATCTCCTACTTGGGAGAGTCACTCTGTGTGATTAGACCAAAATGTTATTAACATTTTTTCCTTTACTTAATAAAACTTGTACACCATTTTCCTTATATGGAAAAGTCCAATTGCATACTAGGAAATGTAGTGGGATCAATTTTGAAGTTTTGTCTCCTTGTTGGTCTCGCTTTCGTTAAAGAATCTTTGTATTAGACGATCCTTCTCGGGATGAACGAATCTATGTAGTAGTTGTATTCCAATCAATGATCTAGGATAAAGGATTACAAGATATATATGCTAGAGTCCTATATACACAGACTTACATAATGAATACAATACTAAATATGATAAGTCCTAATACGCCCCCACAAACTCAAGGTGGTAAGGCAACAACATTGAGTTTGTCACGTAAAAAGGAAAACCGAGCGGAGCCGAGTGCCTTAGTGAAAATGTCGGCCAACTGATCCTTGGTGGAAATGAACTGAACCACTGGATCCCCGGAAGCCACTTTATCCCTCACGAAATGATAGTCAATCTCCACATGCTTCGTCCGAGCATGGAAAACCGGATTCGCACAAAGGTATGTGGCGCCCAAATTATCACACCACAGCCGGGGTGAAGAAGACAGTCGAATACCGAGCTCACCTAACAAAGAAACCAGCCAAGTAACCTCAGCCGAGGCATCTGCAAGCCCATTGTACTCGGCTTCAGTCGATGACCGAGCCACAGTCTTCTGCTTACGACAGACCCAGGAAATTAAGTTGGTACCGAGATAGACAGCAAAGCCACTCGTAGACTTTCGATCCACCGGACAACCAGCCCAGTCTGAGTCAGAGAAGGCATGAATAACAAGTGAGTCAGACTTGGAGAAACGAAGACCATATTGTAAAGTACCTTTAACATAGCGCAACACACGCTTCAAGTCCGCCCAATGTGCAGTCGTGGGAGCATGCATCGACTGACACAGCCTGTTAACCGCATACGACAAGTCAGGCCGGGTTATGGTGAGATACTGGAGAGCACCTGCCAGCCGGCGAAAGGAAGTGGGATCTTGCAGCGGATCAGGAGGACCTGAGGACTCTGCCTTTGACGTGGAGACAGGAGTAAGAACGGGCTTACAGTCTTCCATTCCTGCACGACGTAAGATGTCAATCATGTACCGACACTGAGACAACACCAAAGCACCGCCAACATCAACAGTCTCAATACCCAAGAAGAACCGCGGAGTACCCAAGTCCCGAATCTTAAAAGCAGTAGCAATCCGATCAAACAACACAGACACAAGACGCGAATCACTCCCCATGATGAGAATATCATCCACGTAAACAAGCAAGTATACCTGACAGTCAGACTCAGAATATATAAACAAGGAAACATCAGTCTTGGACGATTGAAAGCCAATCTGAAGCAGATAATCATGCAACCTCCGAAACCAGGCCCGAGGAGCCTGCTTTAAGCCATAAAGTGACCGCTGCAAAAGACAAACATGAGTGGGGTACCTACCATCAACATACCCAGCTGCGAGTATCGCCTGGTCCTGCTGCGTCCAAATTGCGAACGCTGGGTTCACAACTACGGTGGAGCCATTGGTGGAGGGAAGAAACTGTGCAGGACAGAGAAGAGATCCGTCGACGTAGCCGATGAGGTTCTGGCCACGGAAGAACGGCACCAACTGTGTACGCCAGAACAAGTAGTTCTTGGACGTAAGTTTCAACGACACGAAATGGTGGGCACCCTGAAGAGAAACGGGCGTTGCCAACGACGGAGATGAAGTCGCGGCGGTGATGGTGCGGCTCTCAGAGACGGAGGAATTATCGGCCATACCTGAATCTGATACCAGATGAACGAATCTATGTAGTAGTTGTATTCCAATCAATGATCTAGGATAAAGGATTACAAGATATATATGCTAGAGTCCTATATACACAGACTTACATAATGAATACAATACTAAATATGATAAGTCCTAATACTCGGCAGCTTCGTACCAAATGGGAAAACGCAACATATTCCACGTGCAGAACTTCACTTACCAACTTCAGCTTAATTTGGTCTAAACTTTGACTCAATTAATATAACCATTCACTAATCAAATAAGAGATTAAATCTTTACCGATAATAATTAGGATTAAATTTACATTAAAAGTAATATTTCAGGGTAAAAATATATTAAATGTCAGTTAAATCATAGATGAGAGTGGGAAAAAGAAAATAATATAAAAGAACAGTTTTAAAAATGATACAATTGAAGAATATTTCATGAAATCTTACATTACATGCATGCAGAACATAAACACATGAACTTCAAAACCAGATCGACAGTAATGGAGGTTAATCTCCCTATATAGTGATGATGATGGAATTTGTATCTAATTTATCTTTGCAAAATCAACTGTTTCCTTTCCGTCGTGAGCTTTCCTGAAGAAATGCTTGACGTAGTCGGAGTAAAGCACGTTCTTGTACACCGCCTTCTCGCCGCTCTCCAACAACTCCGGCAGCGGTCCGATGATATCATTCGGCCGGGGATTCACGAAGATCG